TTATACTAAAATAATTCATGTGTTAAAATGTTTCCTGCTAATTAGGCACTTGTGGTTGTGCTCACAGGGACTGTTCTTTCCTTCTCAAATTGTGAAACTCTTGTTGATAGTGGGCAAGAAAATAAATACTTTATAAAACCTTCAGTCAGACCATTTGTGCCCATTATCACATCTTGTGATCTGACTGATCTTTTTCCATCAAAGCCTAACTCTGTCCCATATATTTAGTAATATGATTATCTAAGCATGATGTATATAATTCTAAATTACTACTTTTATTATGATATTATCCACATTCCAAACCTCTTTCCATTTCTTACATTTCATTGTTTAACCCTGTTCAGTTGCTTCATATATGAAAGTTTGTTTATTGTTTCCTGAGAATCATTTGTTCTAGTTCATTCCCACTGAAGTCTTAGGTAGAATCTCCCCCTTAAAGAAAAGATGCTAGCCATTGTGTTTGTGATGCAATGTAACTAACTCTGGCCACATCTATTCATAATATCACATGAGCTGCTGAAGCTGCCAGCAGGTAGTCTGAGTATCTTTTTTACTGTACAATATTAATGGCTATTTTGGTTCCATTGCTTACAACAAACTATAATTGACTAGTTTGTGCCCCTTACTTATGATATCATATTACTGGTTACTCTTGGTTCCTTTCTTAGGGCTAAATTTTCCTCTACACTTTTCCAAACCCAAGTAACAGTGCTTGATACTGGGGAGTTGTTTTGGGAAGGATAAGGAAGACATTCCACTTCTATGGCCAGTAGACCCTGATCCATCTGCTACAGCCTGTCACTGCCTTACCATGCTCACAAACCCTGCTGCACAAGGATGCATAGCAAATCCCTGTGGATACTGGCTTTGTGACTTTTCTGAGTTTCCCAAATCTTGACTCACTAGTGCATCTTCCTCCTGTGTCTGAACTTCTCTGCAGTTTGGAGAAGAGATAAAGATTGCCCCCTTATTGCATTATATTACCTATCCAAAATGGGATGTAGGTATTTTTCAATCTTGCTGTATAAAATTGATGCATAGGTGGCTGACTACATGTGAAAAAATACTTTGTGCTTTGTATTAGAAGCAGTTGAAGTGGAATTTACAATGATCAGGATAAAACAATGGATATAATACTTGGCCAGAAGAGATATTATTGTAAAGTAGAAAGCCAGGGAAGCCATGACGCTAGGGAGAGAGTGCTGACTCAATAAAAGGAGATGAAAGCTGACAGTCAGGAGAAAAGACCCTAATTCAGTTAGTGAGAATGGGATGCAAGCTGGAAGTCAAGCAAAGGCAACAATTAAATTTCAAGAATCGAGGTTAGGAGCCTTCAAGAAAGCACCAAATCTGTTTAGGGTCTGGTGATGGAGGTTAGGAGGCTTGGAGAAGTCCTGGACTACAGGACTTTGGGATGTGGAGGACAGACATTGGGAACCAGGGAGAGGGCTTTACGCCATCATTGTGATGGAGTTTGGAAACTGTGGAGGGTGTTGATCCCATTGGTGAGTGCAAGTTTGATAGTTGGAAATAGAGTCCTGATCCCAACAGAGGTTGAGAAAGAAAGAGAGTGCTTATTCAGTTGGATTGAAGTTGAAGGAGAGGACTCTGGTTCCATTAGTGGGGTGGAGATTGACAGCAGAAGATGATTTGGCTAATAGAAAGAAGGATAGAAGAAATAATGCAGCGTGACAAAGACAACTTCAAGGAGGAGGATGGAATTCCAATGACTGGCATCTGTTGGGGTCTTTTCAGAGGCTTTTTGTCCATTCCTTTGAACGTACTGCCTCTGACATGACCCAGAAAATTGGGGCACAATGCAGATCTTGTCTAAGTAGGGACTCTCAAAACCGGTGATGGGTGAATTTTATAAATTCTTCTTCGAGTACTTACTCATGTCCATTCCACATTAGGGGTGTGTGCTTGCCACATGCACCAGTGCCAGAAGTTTTTCCCTCAGCAGTATCCATAAGGGAACGTCTCTGGCATCCTCTGGCGTCCTCTCCACAGCAAACTGGTGAGACTCCTGATGGACAAAATGGCCTCAATGTTCTACGTCAACAGGCAAGGAGGCGCGTGCTCATCGGCTCTCTGCCAAGAGGCTCTCTGTCTCTGGGACTTCTGCATCTGAAAGCTGGTCACCTCCCCAGCATCAGGAATGCCCTAGCAGATCACCTCAGCAGGAACTTCTCCTCTCACCATGAGTGGTTGCTCCACCCGGAAGTGGCCTGCATGAGCTTCCAGAGATGGGGAACTCCCCAAGTAGATCTACTTGCCACCAGGCGAAACAGAAAATGCTATTGGTTTTGCTCCCAGCAGGGATTGAGCAAGGTCTCCCTCTCCAATGCCTTCCTCATGTCGTGGGCCAAGGGTCTGCTGTACACGTTCCTTCCGATACCTCTGGTCAGCTGGGTCCTAATAAAGATCAAGAGGGTAAGGCATAGGTTATCGTGATCGCCCCTGCATGGCCTCGCCAGCACAGGTTCGGCATGCTCACGAATATGGTGGTGGCCCCTCCTTGGCCCCTTCTCTACCATCCGGATCTGCTGTCACAGGATCATGGTTGGCTCCTACACCCCAACCTCGAGTCTCTACACCTCTTGGCATGGATGCTCTGTAGTTGAACCTGGAGGAGCGTACCTGCTCGGAGGAGGTCCAGCAGGTCCTCTTCGGAAGTAGGAAGCCATCCACGAGACTAACTTACCAGGCCAAGAGGACGAGGTTTTCCTGCTGGGTGTCGGAGCGCGGCATTTCTCCCTCATGTTCTTCAGTGCAGTCCATCTTGGACTACTTACTGCAGCTCAGGACCCAGGGTCTGGCACATTCTTCCATCAGAGTGCACCTTGCGGCCATCTCCGTGTTCCACCAGCCGATCCAAGGTCAGATGGTCTTTTCGCATGACATGACTGTCAGTTTCCTGAGGGGCCTCAAGAGGCTTTACCCGCAGGTACGGGCCCCTGTCCTACAGTGGGACCTTAACCTGGTCCTCTCAAGGCTCACCAGCCTGCCTTTTTAGCCGCAGGGCTCCTGCTCCCTCCTACTTGTCCTGGAAGGTTGCTTTCCTGGTGGCGGTGATGTCGGCGGGACAAGTCTCAGAGATTAAGGCCTTGACCTTGAAACCTCCTTACACAGTGTTTTGTAAGGACAAGGTCCAGCTGCGGCCCCACCCAGCCTTCCTGCCAAAGGTGGTATCTTCTTTCCACACGAGCCAGGACGTAGTCCTGCCAGTATTCTGTCCCAAGCTGCACAAGACTGCCGAGGAGAGGCATCTGCATGCACTGGACATCCGGAGGGCCATGGCTTTTTACTTGGAGCATACCAAACCTTTCCGTAAATTGACCCAGCTCTTCATCGCTATGGTGGATAGGATGAAGGGCCTTCCGGTTTCTTTGCAGAGGATTTCCAACTGGATCACCTCTTACATAAAGACCTGTTACGTGCTAGCAAAGGTCCCACCGCCCATTCGTTAGAGCCCATTCGACTAGAGCTCAGGCATCTTCAGTGGCCTTCCTGGCACACATCCCAATCCAGGACATCTGTAGAGCCATGATGTGGTCCTTAGTCCACACGTTCACGTCTCATTATGCCATTACTCAGCAGGCCAGAGACGGCACTGAGTTCGGCAGAGCTGTATTACAATCTGCGCAGCTCGTGAACTCCTACCCGCTTCCACGGGAACTGCTGGGAGTCACCTAATGTGGAATGGACATGAGCAAGCACTCGAAGAAGAAAAGACAGTTACCTTTTCCGTAACTGGTGTTCTTCGAGATGTGTTGCTCATGTCCATTCCACAACCTGCCTTCCTTCCCCACTGTTGGCGTTTCCGGCAAGAAGGAACTGAGGGTGGGGGGAACCAGCGGCGCCCCTTATACCGCTTCACATGGGCGCCACTCCAGAGAGCGCCAGAGAGGCTCCATTACAGATAATGCTGAGGGGAAAAACTTCTGGCACCAGTGCATGTGCCAAGCACACACACCTAATGTGGAATGAACATGAGCAACACATCTCGAAGAACACCAGTTATGGAAAAGGTAATTGTCTTTTTTGGAGGTTTGGATAAATATATGAAAGTTCGGATACTTCTTTGAACCTTCAAGCCTACAGTGAGAATTTTCCTACGTCCCCTCACGTATAGCCTCTCCCTCACCCCAACTTGCCTGCTCACCCTTATCTTAAGGGGATGTAGGTGTCCTGCTGAAGTGTAGATCAGTCTTCAGGTTGACATCTGTGGTCCCCTTCATCCCTCCCCAGGCAGTTCCTCATAATTCTCAGTCAAATCCCCACTCCAATCCGGCAAGCGACAACACCAACTAGATGAAAAGTTGCAATTGTATTTCCACTGGGTCTGGTTGCTTCTGTGACTTTCTTACTTCTCAGATTTTAAAGTGTGTTTTTGAAACCAAACAGCTGGTGAGATATCTGAAACATACTTTGAGGTGCAAATATAAGGGATGCCCCAGAGAGCCCCTGAGTTGCAAGAGAATAGCAGCATCAAGGTACAGTGAAGGCGTTGCTGAATCTCCCCAAACACAGCAGCTGCTTTTGGAGAAGAAAAGGGCCATTCCCACAAAGACTGATGTCCCCTAGGGTGGGAAGTGATTATCTGGACTTCAAATACCAGCTTTTGCTAGAGGTGAGTTGGGGTTAATGAACCTCTTTAATGTATCCCATAAAATGACCTGCATAAGCCTTGGGGCACTGGTGTCTGTCCTCACTAGCTGTCTTCCAGTGGATATGGGAGTGAGCTCTTGATGCTGTCTCCTATCTCCACTTGCACAGCCTGCACTAGAGGTAAGTATGGTTCTTGGAAATAGAGGTGAAAGTGGTGTGGACTTCTTAAACCTTTCTCAGACCTCAATAAAGGCTTGGTTCCAGAGAGAGGCAGAGATTTCAGACCAGTTCTTATTTTGCCCAAAACAATTCACCCAGCCCTAAATTGACCTGCTTTTCCTCAAACAGGGAGTCAGAAATCCCTTTTCTCTTCTGTTTTTCTGCTGCAGAAATTCCCAACATTCCCATTTTGTGGGCTCCAGAGAGGGGTAAGCAACATCTTCAATTCCAGCCAATCATTTTCAAACTAATTCTTTGCTGTTTTTTTTGTTTGTTTGTTTTTTAAAATCATCAGAAACAGCTTTCAGGCTCATTTTTCCCATTTGTTTGATTTCCTTGTGGATTCGCATAGTTCTGTTAATAGGAGACTCCTGTAGCCTCCCCAGGCACTAGGGCTCAGATTCATCTGCTGATTCCATTTATGTACTGTTCTCTATTGGATTTTCATGGTTTACTATGTTAATCTAATGGTGTTATTAGAGAGTGTTTTGCTCACACTATCCTCCAATACCTGAAAAGCATTGTCATCCTGCTGCCAACCTATTATCAGGCTTCCATTTTCTCCATGCCAGCAGTTGTATTTGATTATTAATGGACATTGCCCTCTTGCTACCCCTGTCCACCTAGGGATTGCCTGGCATTCATTGCTCTCTTTCTGCTATGTCTACTTGTTGACAGCTCAGCATTGGCTCCCTGAAGCCCTGGCGTTTTGCTTGAGTGTATGACTATGCCCTCTTGACCACCTGATTGCCTGACATTGACTATCTTTTGCCCTATCCATCTGTTGAGTGGCTTGCATTGCTTTCTTACTGCTTTTTACATCAGATTGCACATGGGCATTGACTTCCTGCTGTCCTGCCTCCTTTCTTGAGTGCCTGGTATTGCCCTCCTTCTGTTGTGTGCAGCTGTTGACTTCCTGGAATTGCTGTCCTGCTGCTTTGTGCATCTGCTGATTGCTTGATACTGCTTTATTGACTTGCTGAGTGTCTGGCATTTCCCTTCTGCTTTTCCACTTGCTTTCTAGCTTACATTATATCCTTGCTGCCCTTTGAGTCTGATATATACTGGCATTGCCCTTTTTGCTGCGCTGTCCACTTGCTTATTTTCCTAGCATTTCTCTCCTGCTGTCCTGCCTACCTGCTTAGATATCACTTCCAAATAAGCACAATTTGAAAAAAATATCATAGGAAATGTGAGGAACAGGAAAAGGCTATTATCTGGCTCCAATGTGCCCTGCTTCAATCCAACATACCAGCATTTTAATATTGACCTCTGTATCTTCATCCTGCTTTGTCATAGGATTACTCAATCCCTTCTCCTCCTAGAAAAGATTGAGAGGTGCAGTAATCTCATTTAAACTCTTTGCTGCAATCTCCTCATCTGGGAACTTATTCTGTAGTATATTCCAGTTTGCAGGACATTGCATTTATACAATGCTATTCAGTCTAAAATCACTTTACTAACATTATCTACAGAAATCCTTGCAGTACCACTGTAAGGTAAGTAATTAACTATTAGCCACATATTGCTGAGGCTCAGAGATATTAAGGGATGAATGCTCAGCTGTGCCCAGTAGGCACTGGGCACAGTTTATGGATTCCAAGTGTAGTAGGGACCATTGTGATAATCTAGTCTGACTTCCTGCAAAACACAGGCCATAGAACTTCCCCACAATAATTTCTACACTATATCTTTTAGAAAAAAACATCCAATCTTGATTTTAAAATTGCCAATAATGGAGAATCCACCAAGACCCTTGGTAAATTGTTCCAGTGGTTAATTACCCTCACTATTAAATATTTACACCTAATTTCCAATCTGAATTTGTTTAGGTTCAGCTTCCAACCACTGGATCGTGTCATATCTAGATTGAAGAACCCATTATCAAAGGTACTTGCCTGTCTCCCAGGCAGGTACCTATAAACTGTAATCAAGTCACCCCAAGCCCTCTCTTTGTTAAGCTAAATAGATTGAGCTCCTTGAGTCCATCACTATAAGGCATGTTTTTTAATCCTTTAATCAGTCTCGTGGCTCATCTCTGAACATTCTCCAGTTTATCAAAATTCTTCTTGAATGATGGACACCAGAACTGGACACAGTATTCCAGACGCAGTCATACTAATGCCAAACACAAAGGTAAAAAACTTCTCTACTCCTACTCGAGAGTCCCCTGTTTATCCAAGGATCGCATTAGCCCTTTTGGCCACTGTGTCACATTGGGAGCTCATGTTCAGTTACTGCTTCCCAGGATAGAGGTCCCCATCCTGTAAGTATGGCCTATGTTTTTTGTTCCTAGATATATACATTTTACATTTAGCCATATTAAAACACATATTGTTTGTTTGCACCCAATTTACCAAGAAGTCTAGATCACCTAGGGTAGGTCTACACTTACCCGGTAGTTCGGCGGCAAGCAAATCGAACTTCTGGGTTCGACTTATCGCGTCTTGTCTGGATGAGATAAGTCGAACCCGGAAGTGCTCGCCGTCGACTGCGGTACTCCAGCTCAGCGAGAGGAGTACGCGAAGTCAACGGGGGAGCCTGCCTGCCGCATCTGGACCGAGGTAAGTTCGAACTAAGGTACTTCGAACTTCAGCTACGTTATTCACGTAGCTGAAGTTGCGTACCTTAGTTCGAATTGGGGGGTTAGTGTAGACCTGCCCCTAGTATCAATGACCTGTCCTCTTAATTATTTACTACCCCAGTTTTTGTGTCATCTGCAAATTTTATTTGTGATGATTTTAAGTTTTCTTCCAGCTAATTCATAAAAATGTTATATAGTGTGGGGCCAAGAACTGATCCATGTGGGACCCCACTAGAAAGATCCCCACTCAATGATTCCCCATTTATAATGGAGGAAAGAAGCTAAAAAAAATAGGTTGATGCTCTAAACAATACTGCTTGCAACTGGCCGAAAGATGCCTTTGTAGCAGTCGGAAATTGCCAGAGTGCAGCATATTCCAGACATACACCCTCTCACTCAGGCGTGCCCCTAACACATCCTCAATGCTGAGAGAATCTTCAGCTGCCCACTTATGGCAGCTTTTTGGCCTATTTACATAGAGCAGGGACCAGGATCTGACCCTGTGTGATTTGCTCAATGAGACAAGTCATTGTCAGAGCCTAGAATAGAAATAAGGATTTTCTGCTTCCTTCCCCTGAACTCAAATTACTAGACCACACCTCTCCTAAGCCATGCTGGAGTTCTCAGTTAATTCTAATTTTCTTGGTCTTGGATCATGCTTTTGAACCCAGTACCAGAGTGAACATTCTGTCTCTATACATTCCTTTCATCTCTGTCATAATTTCGTAGAAAAGAATTATGTTACGTTAAAGTTGTCCTTCTTACAATTAAAACAAACTGACCTCCCATAACTTTTCCTAATAACTTAGATTCTTCAGATCTGATGTTACCCGTGTTGACCTGTGATATTTTGAAGGATGCCTAATTATTATAGAAAAGGTCTAACAATTGCTTTATAAAGTAAGAGGATAACATTCTTCAAGGCAACAATCTCTGTCCTCTGGGATAGAGCCCAGCACAGTATGGGATCAAGCAAACAATTTTTATAATATCAGATTTTTCAAGACATTCACTTCCCCTTTGTATGATAGTTCCCAACATTACAAACAGTATTTCGGATAATGTCAAACCAGGACTTTCCCTATGAGTTTTCTGGTTTTCACTTTGACCCTTAGAAAACTGAGAAACTGTTCCACACTGAGAAACTGACCATTACTATTACTTCCACTCCCACACAATAATCTTGCTCCTCCTCTCCCCTCTTTCCTTCCACCTGCTCTCCCTTCTCCAAACACAAGAGTTCTTCCCCCTCTTTTATCAAGGTCCCAAACATACTCTGCAAGCTCACAATTGTAGAAGGCTGATGTCATCTTACTCTCTATCAATCTTGCATTGCTGGAGGTCCTAGTAACAGGGCTGTCTGATCTCAATGCCAGCTTTCATTCCAGTTCTTCCCCAACTCCCAATCTCAGCTCTCAGTTTGACATTTCTCCCTTTGCTGGTTCCCAGCCTGGTGTTTGGGAGCGGGTATCAAAAGGAGACATTACATTAGAAGGGTGGAGGGATGGTTTCCTCCAACAAAGTAGAGGGACTGGATGCATCTAGAACTCATTTTCTACCCAATAAACCAGAAATCTTCCTTCTAGCGTAGTATACTAGTGTCTCAGCATTACCACTTCGAAAACAGCTGTCTCTCAAATGTTATTCAGATTTTCTAAGTTTTAAATCAATCAAATACCAATAGAACGCCACCAAAGCAACTGACTGAGAGGCCACAGAATTTGCTATTTTTTTCAGTGTTAAGAGCTTTATATGTTTTTTCAACTGAAAATTTTAATTAGCAAGAAAACTAGGACAAAACTTCCTCAGGCAACTTCTTAACAAGCTATCAAGGCAAGTCAGTCTTGCAGGTGTGATGTTCAAATTAACAAAAATTCTAACCAATTTATTTTAAAAGATTTTGTGTTCATTTCAGAGAGATATTTATCCAGTCATTTTCACATCTACAGTTGAGTTATAATTTGATTAAAGAGCCAATAAAAATATCAAAAGCAATGGAAAGCACTACAGCAGAAATCCTATTTATCAAGTCCTATCATCTTTGCTCTTTGACATTCTACCCCTCTGATACAATGACCCCTATATATGTTAGCTTCTTTAGAGCAGCTGTACACTTTGCAACAAGAAGAGTCTTAAAATTAATTTTTGAGATGCTCAGCTCACCCGCTTTCAAACTTGTAAACTTTCCCAGTGTGGCACCTCTGTGTTTCCTAACTCAGTCAACTTTTATCCCTATTTTATTTCCTATTAATGAACTCTTTGCCTTCCCCACTTATTTCTGAAATGGAATTTTGTAAAATGATTTTTGAATATCTGATGTACATCATCCACTGAAATGCCCTTTGCATGCCTGAGTACTTCTGACTATCAGTCATCCAGCAAGGTTTTTTTCATGTGTTTTCGTACTATACATCCTCAGAGAGTTTTCATACAGTAAAAGATTTTAAATTTTTTGGATTGGTAGCATTCTTCTTTGTCTCTTACTTCCATAATTTTAAATAAAGGGTCTCTTGTTACTTTGCAGTACTCCACAATCTTTCCCAAAGCTAGCAACAATTTTAAATTACATTGTTGCTTTTCTGGTTGCTTTGTTCACTTCCTGTAATCTCCTGTGCTTTGTCTATT